ATAACAATAATAATAGTTTAATTTATTATAGCAAGTACCCACGCTCTACAGCATGCTTTTTACGCTTTATAACCATTATAATTACCCAAGCAGACCCTAGAGCACCCGGAAACATTCTCGGCTTCCCGGGAAGCATACAGTACAAGCTACAGAGTGCACGTGTTTATAATAAACACTAACAAACTGATATAAGATCTTTCGCTGTTTTTAGCGTAGTACCCATTCCCTACGTGGGTGAAGTGAGGAAAGTGCGTGTAAAGTGATTTTCCCAAATACAGCACGTCGGGTCTCTTACCTAATAATCTCTTTAAAAATGTTGATCATTCTGTGCAGAACATAGAGGAAGACGTCTGTCACAAATATAATTCATTCTTTTTTACAATTCCGTTTCAAGAAACAGCTGAGTATATCATCAACCTCCCACGGTATTGAAACAGAAGAATCATAGCCTTGTTAAACACGCACAGTCTTCCATTAAGTAAAAATCTTTATCGGTGGAAATGAATCGATTCACCCTTAAGTGAGAGGTGGAACTCTCATGAAAGTGAAGATGAATTTCACTTTATTTTCTACCCTACAAATTTAATTGTCCATCAAAGGAAATTGTCAGTTCGCCCAAGGCTGACTCGGCCCAGTGACAGAAATAACAATGCATTTTTTCATATTTTGACCCATGATATGATATATGTGCACAACCTGCACCTTTTCATTATGGAAACTTTATTTAACAAATGAGTGTTTTATGTGACTTGGTGTGGATTAATGGTCTTAAACACTGAATAAACTTACTAAATTAAATCTTTAACAACGACCATATTATTCACTTTTTCTTCTCTGTATTTCACCAAACAGGCGGTGAAGAAGTTCCGCAAACTGGAGTGCAAGTGTCACGGTGTGAGTGGATCCTGTACCATCCGCACGTGCTGGCTGGCCATGCAGGAGTTCCGTCTGGTGGGGCAGCACCTCAAAACACGCTACAACGGGGCCACGCAGGTCATGATGAAGCAAAACGGCGCAAGTCTCATTGTGGCAGATAAGAACCACAAGCGTCCTACGCGCTCTGACCTCGTCTACTTAGAATCTTCACCCGACTACTGCGTTGAGAATTCGGAAGTTGGTGAGTTTTTCTACATTTGTGTTATTTTAGGTCACCTTCTAATTCTTAAAAAGGGGTTCTTGTGGTCTAGAGGAAATGATGTTCGCCTCGCATTCAACAGGTCCCGGGTTTCGAAACCTGACAGCGTTGTTAGATTTTCTTCTAAAAACGTTCTTCTTTCACCTCCTTTCCTTCTCTTTAGTCTAATTCTTTAATCTGCTTTTGGTCTCTATTTTGTGCCCCCCTCCTTACCCCCTTCCTCTAGGCCTCTGACTTTCTCAACTACTACTCCTGGCTCCCTCTTACTGCCGTATAAGGTCCAAAAAATATCGGAGGTCCCATGAGCAAGTTGCGCACGTTAAAGATCTTTGCAGGTCCAAAAATCGAAAAGTGTAGGTGTTGGCCGCCACCAAGGGAAAATTCAAAAAGAATTCCTACCAAAACTGAAAATGCTTTAAGTGCCCCGCGCGCTGATACGGTCCTATGCAGTTGCGAACGCCGTAAAACTCTTACCAAGACAAAAAATATAACGAAAAATCTATACTACACCCTTCCTACAAACGTGTTGGTCAGCAGAGACGACCTCAATTTAAATAGTGAAAGCCTAGTACAAAATTACATAGTGTAAGTACAAAACAAATTCGCACGGAGACTCCACAGCGCTCGCTGTATTCAGTACTTTACCAGCTGCATGGTTAATAACTTAAATTCGCAGTTTGGATATAGATTGTTGTAACACAACGCTGTTTTTTAGTTTGCATTTTACTTTAAACTAAGGTTTCTCTTTATCTGTTGACGGGATATTTTTTATTTTTTGGTGTGATCAAAAAAAGGGGGAAAAAGGGGGGAGGGGGGTAGGGGTCGACACACCGATCTTTTGTTGAGCATGTAATGATGCACATACATTTAAACGTGTTCATTTATTAATTATTTTTTTTAGGGTTGACTCCCTGACATTAATTGCAGATATTCAGCAGTGTGTGTGTGTGTGTGTGTGTGTGTGTGTGTGTGTGTGTGTGTGTGTGTGAATGTGTGTGAATGTTCGTGTATATCTGTGTGTGTATGTGTGCGTGCGTGTGTCTTTGTAAAAGATAGAGAGAGGAGGGTGGGGAGAAAACATATTTAGAAAGATAGATAGAAAGAGAGGGGAGGAGAGAAAGGGAGAAGGGGAGACGCAGAGGGAGGCTCAGGGAGAGAGAGAGAGAGAGGGAGAGAGAGAAAAGCTGAGAGATAGACAGGCGGAGAAAAAGAGAGACAGAAATCGACAGAAAGAGGCAGACAGAGGGGCAGAGACAGCAAGAGAGAGAGAGAGAGCGTAACAGAGAGACCGAGAGAGACAAAGAGAACGAGAGAGAGAGGGAGAGAGAGAAAGAGAGAAAGACAGAGAGAGAGAGAGCCCAGTAAAGAAATAGAGACAAACAACATAGGCAATAGAAATAGCAAAGTGAAAGAGAAACACGTCTTGTCAAGAATTTCCCCCACCTTCACCCAAAAAATAAATACATAAAACGAAATTAGCCACTGCCGTATCTCCCACTCCCCCACCGCCTCCATCATACATCCAACCACTCCCGCCTCCCACCACAACAGAGACACACAGTAGCCGTCAAGGATTCCTCTGCCACCGCATCACAAATTGTATTGCCAACAAAGAGCTCATTTTCCGGAACATGTCGCTTGACACAAACAGGAAGTCTGGGACGATCGGCTGACCACATGTCAGGTATCGTGACGTCCAGGCAGTCACCTTACATCTGTCCTTGTTTCACGTAGTGGACATTGGAAGTATCCGTACCAAGTACTTGATATTGATTATTATCATTTTTTTAAACCAAATTCTACTAACTGTGCCCCCTTTCGATGAAAGGAATGATCGGTGCATTAACATCAACTGAAAACCATTGGCCTACTATATTTACACTCTACTGGAATGGACCAATAAATCTTGAGAAAAAAGTGAGGCTCGTGTTTCCAAGTTGTCAAATATGAACTAGATGTATAGATTGATTCTCTATTCCGATTTCGTGGTTGTACACTCCATAATATCAAAGATATAGAACAGTGCGCACGGCTAGTGAACGTAAACTTCACTGGTTTACAATGGCGTCTTAGAAGACGGACTTCCCCAAAATTAGATCTAAATGTAACTAATGAAAAACTGACATTTAAACTACAGTGACTTCAGGCTCCTCAATAAAACTGTGCACCCTTTTAATTATTCTGAACAACAATTAATTTTGTCAAATTCGAAAGTTAAGTGGTTCGGAAGTTTTAGGCGGCCAAAGTGACTTTCACAAAAATAATATATAGAGATGCTGATCTCAAAACAGGAAGTATATTGTTAATTTTTTATTTCGAAGCTCAAAGCTTTCTCGAATTTTATTCATTTATTTTCTGTGACTGTCCAGAAGGACATTTCTAGAAAAACGTACTGAAGCAATACACGTTATAAAGCTCGGTTCCATCTAGGGTAAGGCACTTTGCATGTATATGAATACACAGTGTTAATAGATGGTAGCAG